TGTCTGAAGCTAGGGTGGTCCCCCCGCGGAAAATTATGAAGCTAACGTACGGCACGATCACAATGAACCATTTTCAGAATTCGCCTCTTCTGGGTGATCTGCTATTAAAATGGGAAATTACGTTTTCATGCAGGCTGATGCACACGCTTGGCCATAGAAGCTAGATCCTGCTGTTTTTCTTGACCTGCATTAACCTAGATTGGGCTTCGTCAAAGCTTTTTGTGTGCCTATTGCGCCTGAACCTTGGCCTCCAACCTCGCTCAACAGCGTTTCTTTCATCTCTCTCCGAATGTGTGCATTATTTATGCCTTAAAATCCTCGAACCCATATTTTTTTGCCAGGTGGTGTCAGTTATTTCTAAACTGGTGGATTCTGGTCTTATCATGACCATCTCGGCCTCAATGCGTCAAGAATAGAAATGAATACACTTAAGAATGAAGTGAATTAAATAGAATGCCGTAGCTGGAAACTAAATTTTGAATATCACGCATCCCGTATAAAGAAACACGAGACCTGCTCGCCGAGATACATGGCGTGGTCTTAACGCTAGACGCAAAGCCACTGTCGACAAATGAGGTGGCGACCATACAGAGATTACGGGCCGAATCAGACAAAGTGGCTCGGATCATTTTAAGGTTCTCCAAGCAAGTCACTTGAAACCTGGTGCTAAAAGAGAAAAGAAAAAAAAAAAAGTGAAAGCCGTTTACAACTTCCTGTAACGCCGAATTGGAGCGCAGCTCTTGAGGAGGAGGAGTGGAGGGTATATTCCTCCTCCTCCCTCGTGATCATGCCTGCTAGTCCTCCTCCCCTCCTGCTCCCCCTCCCTCTCCTTTACCACCTTTACCGGCGGGGGAGGAGGGGGGAGGAGGAGGGGGAGGGGCGGCGCCGACGCCGACGCCAACGCCGACGCCGACGCCGCACAGGCTGGAAACGGGTCATGTGACCCCCTCCCCCCGAGGTCACGTGACCCGCCCGGACCATACTACACAATGAGGGGAGGAGGAGGAGGAGGGGGAGGAGGAGGAGGAGGAGGAGGGGAGGAGGAGGAGAGGGAGAGGCGCAATTACGCCGACGGCGACGCCGACGGCGACGCCAACGGCGACGCCAACGGCGACGCCAACGGCGACGCCGACGCCGCTCAGGCTGGAAACGGGCCCCTAAGAGCTGCGCTCTAAAAACTTCATCGAGAGTAGAAGGTTTACCTGCTTGAATTTATGCAAAAGCAAATGGTGGCACTTCTCTGCGCGGTTATGATTAAATCTGCGAATGAAGTATACAAAATGTGTAAGATGTCACATCAAAATTAAAGCCATCTACAACTCCCTGTAATGCCGGTGTAGAGCGCAGCTCTTGAGGTGGAGGGTCCAAGGGTACTGAGGGACAGGTGACTCCCTGAGGTCAGGTGACCTCAGGGGGGTTACGTGAGGGTAACTCTCATAACCTTCGTGACCCTCAGGAGGTAACCCTCATGACCCTCGTGAGAGTAACCCTCGTGACCCCCGTGAATGTAACCCTTTTCAGGGTAACTAACCCTCGGTACCCTCGTGAGGGTAACCCTCGTGATGCTTGTGAGGATAACCCTCGTAACCCTTGGGAGAGTAACCGTCGTAACCCTCGTAACCCTCACGAGGGTTACGAGGGTTACTTTCACGAGGGTCATGAGGGTCACCCTCCCGAGAGTCACGAGGGTTATTAAAGTTACCCTCACGTAACCCCTCCCCCCGAGGTCACGTGACCTCAGAGAGTCACCTGTCCACGTGACCTCAGGGAGTCACCTCGTGAGGGTAGCCCTCGTAACCCTTGGTAGAGTAACCCTCATAACCCTCACGAGGGTAACCCTTGTGACGTAATTATGGGAAACTACCCATCATGCAACATGTGGTTACGCCGCTTGCATGCAGCGCGTTGCATGCAAGCTTGGCATGAGCGTTGCGTGCGCGTTGTGTGCAATGCGCGGGTTGCATGCAACCTGTGGTTACGCCGACGGCGACGGCGACGCCGCTCAAGCCGGAAACGTTCGCCTAAGAGCTGCGCTCTAAAAAATATATTGATGCATCTCTAACATTCCTTGACAATGACGTTATGCTTCCTCGCAATCTGGGGAAGCTTTTTCGTCATTAGAGAGGATTGTTTTTAGAGCGGAGCCCTTAGGCGCCCGTTTCCAGATTGAGCGGCGCCAACGTCGCCGTCGCCGTCGGTGTAACCGCGCGGTGCATTATGGGAGGTGTCCCATAATTATGGGAAATGTCCCATAATGCACCGCGTGCGACGTCACGAGGGTCTAGCGTGGTGCATTATGGTACATTTTCCATGATGGAACGCGCGGGGAGTAGGGAGGGGGATAACATAAATATCCCATAATGCACCGCGCAGGGAGGAGGAGGAAAAGGGGAGGAAAAATGGGGGGAGGAGGGGAGGGAGAGGAAAAGAGGAAGGAGGGAGGAGGAGGGGGATGGGAGGGGAGGAGGGGGAGGAGAAGGGGGCGTAGCGGCTTTCACGGCCTGCTCGTCGGACAGACGATGACGACGAGGTGAAGATGCCTCTGCAGCGCGCGAAATTATAATATCAGTTCGAATCCAAACGCTATGCGGGCTGGTTCCTTTCGTCCCAGCTCCAACAAGGGAAAAGGTGAAGGAAATAGGGGAGGAGGAGAGGAGGGAGGGTGAGGAGGGTGGGGGATCAGAGAAGGTGAGGAGATTGAAGAATGAGGGGAGGACGTTTAAGTGGAAGAAGAGGGGAGGAGGAGGAAGAGGAGGAGGAGGAAGGTGATGAAGGAGGAGAGAGCAGCAGAGAGAATGAGGAGGTGAGGAGGTGAGGAGGAGGGAAGAGGGGTATACCTTCCCGTCAGTACCCCTCACTCCTAATCAAGAGCTGCGCTTTAATTTGGTGTTACAAGGTGTCTCTTCCTTTGCAGTTCATAAATGACAACGGCATCCCATTTTCAGATGAAGATAGCGCTCTTTACCTTAATAATTTTTTCAGATCAATCTTCACTAAAGAAGACTTGATAAACGTTCCTGACTCATGCCCATTATCTCAGCCTCAGATGAATCCTATCATAATTTACCACGCGGGCGTATTGAAAGCAATAGAAAACCTAGAGGTCTCCTCGAGTTCTGGAGACGACCAAATTAATTCCGAAGGTTTCAATAAACACCGAACCCATTTCCTCCATTTTCCTATGTGTGATATTTTCACAATCGCTCGCTCTTTTCATAGTTCCACGTTACTGGAAAATAGCTAACGTAATACCTGTTCACAGAACTGGTGATCGCCAACTAATATGTAATTACCGTCCCACCTGTCTCACCGGTGTTTTGTCTAAGCTCATGCAGCATATACTTCACTTAAGTATAATAAACTTTCTTGACTCTCATAACCTTCTTTTTGAACATCGACGAGAATTTTGTAAATCTTACCCGTGTAAAACCCAGCTAACCGCCTTCCTAACTGATATTTACTCAAGCTTCGATTCGAATATATAGACCGTCGCCATTTTCATTGATTTCTCCAAAGCATTCAACAAAGTTTCACACCAACGTCTTTTAACAAAGCTTAACGATAGCTCCACACCTCTGTTTTTCGTGGATTTCTGAATTCTTAATTAACCGTAAGCACTATTCCCCATTTAACAACGTAAAATCTTTCACCTCTACCGTAACGTCAGGTTTCTTTCTAGGACCCGTTCTTGGGCCCCTTATGTTCCTAGTCTATATTAATAATCTCCACCTTAATACAGCCTCTTCTGTGTCTTAGTTTCGTGTGTTAGATAAGCTCTATTTTTTTCGTGTTTTTTTTTTATATCTTGTTAGAAATAACAGTGCACATATTGGCTATCGCTGCCATGAAACTATATCCTTTTTGCTACAAAGCCAATGTATGGTGTAAAGATTTTGTCAAGCCTTAACTGAGGGTTTTACTTATTGCTCCACCATCAAACATGAAATGAACTCAATAATATATTTAAATGGTGCATCAGGGCCAAGGGAAGGGGGTTTAGAAGATGTTTCGGGGACACTCTCGTGTCTTACTTGTATCCTTCCATATTTTTTTAATAGTTTTAAAGGTGCAAGTGCTCTATTCATTTAAGAAAAAAACACTGAGATTCGGTAAAAACGAAGAACATGCACAGCTTATCACGATAACAAATATGAATATGGAAAACCTGTGTCATCTGTTTGTAATCCATGTCCCTTCATTTGTTATTGCAATTTAGACACCAACGCGCTTAACCATCTAAACGAACAGAAGAAGCACTTGTGCTGTGTTCGTGAGTCGACTCGTCCCCCTCTGCGGTGGATCTCAGGAGGCCGGCTGAGTGCGGTCTCAATCTAGAAGCGTCTTGATGATGGCAACTGCGTTTCAGCACGTCGTAGAAGATCGGCTGCTAGTCCGCGCTTCGCGCGTATTTGCTTTGTCGTTTTTCGTCCGTCTCAACCGAATATGGTTCTTTTTATAACTGTTTTTCACGCGTTCGGCGCACAGTTTCTCAATGTGCCGTTTGTAAATAAACTGAAGCGTGTTTTGATAAAGATTAAGTAATATAGTAAAATTATAAAATAAATCAACGCGATATTAGAAACTGTTCATTTATAAATTACAAAAGAGCTTGCTTTTCCCGGTAAAGTATTTTTTATCAACTTAAGCTGGCCGTTTTATGAGCTTCACTCCTCTTTAAGATCTCTTCATTGCGTTAACATAACACACAAGTGGAATTTTGGTATATTTACAGTCAGTACAAGCTCGTTCAAATGATATTTAAGCGCGAGACGTATGCGGAAAAAAATTCACATGACACCGGCCTTACGCTCCTCCTCGCAGAATTCAGCAGACGTTGTTCGACATGTCGGACACTATGTCGTTATGGTGTCCCCTCAATTAGGCAAACTACAACACAACAATTTGTGGAGATACGTATTTCATATAAAAAATTTGAATAAAAAAGAATGGCAGCGTCTGTTCCTGGTTTGCTGAAAGTGATCAGCGACCAGAGTACGGACCTCGACGTGATCCAGCGGAGTCCCAACCGTCCGAATCCAGCGATGCGTTGGTTCATCGGGATTTGTGCTGCTGAAGATTGGACTGGTTTCGGTGGAACCGTACATTATCTGAAATATCACAAAAAATGACAGTTGAAGCTTAGGAACTTAATAAAACTCGAAACGATGTCGTAGTAAAAAGGTTGCTTCAGGAGAATTTACGTACGTATAAACTTTGGACGTTCAGCTTTGTTCGTGCCTTTTCAGCAAGCTCAGCATTACACAAGGACCCGGACAGCAACCCTACGAAACAATTGGACAAAGCCGAAGAGCATTTAGGAGCCAAAAGTATAGAGCTCCTTGCAGGCGAAACGCCGGTAGAGTAGAGCGAAAACAAGGCTCAGACAAAAGTTAACAAATTGACGTGGTAACTGCGGCGAATCCGCCATGAATGCAAAAAGTATTGAAGTACACACTCGACAGTTTAACACCGTTATTTGTGTTTTTGGTTTGTGCGAAGTAGTGTCCTTATTCGTGTCGGCAGACACCTTTAAAAAGTAGTGTAATATTAAACAACATTAAAAATAAATGCAGTTAAAAAACCTAAACAAGGGTGTTATGATTTCGCACCCTAAATATAAGGCGTAACTTTGCAACAACCTAAAACTATACAGTCATTTTCTAACACTCTGAAATACATTTTTTACAGAGTTAGAATTCTACGTACTTTATTGGAGCAGAGGTAAGAAATAGTGAAAAAATGGAATCAAGGACATTTATTGAACAATGTGTAAAATTTACAAGGACACTTTCCAAGGACCAACGGAAAACGACTGAAAAATTAATCCAGATATATCTGAACCGCTTCAATATTTTATTTTATTTCAGGGACACATTTCATTGCACATTTACTAAAACAATTGTTGTGCAGCGTTTTGCGCCTTTGCAGAAAGATAAAGACAGGAAATAAACGCAATTGCTTTCCCATTGCATATATCTTTGTGATACAATTGATAATCACATACCAAAAGAGTTATTCATTTTATCTACAAGCATTTGCATGGGCATTGTCTTCGAAAACGATACGTGTACACACACACACACACAAACATGCACACGCACGCACACGCACATACACACGCACGTGCGCGCGCGCAGGCACACACGCACACACACTCGCACGCACGCGCACACAGACACACACAGACACGCAAACGCACGCACACGCACAGGCACACGCACGCACGCACGCACACGCAAACACACTGATATTCCACAATATTTCTTTTAATAATACTTTTGGCGGCTCGAAGTTTCTTGCAGATCACTTGATGAAGTCCAAGACACTACAGAATATCACACATTTCTCTAGCATCGTGATGCTCTGACAAACCTGGCTCACATTGAAGTAGAAAAAAATTAGCAACATCAACCCATTCCTTCTCAGGTCAAAGATGAAAGAACACCATCAGTTGTTACTGAATCATGCAGCTGCATTAATAGCACAGAAACACATGAACAAATGATATCAAGCCTTGAAAGGAACGGCTGACTCACTTCCCTAGCATAAGGGTATTCACGGTATTACTTTCGCGAACTTAAGCTTGTTCAGAGGAAGCACTCTCAAACTTGCACCTGCTCCCCCCACCCTCCCTTCTCTATGCCGTTTCCATCTCTATGGCTTACATTCTGATCAACCAAGCGATATACCACAAAAAATATCCCATGGTCAAGCAAAGTTGACGATTCCGCATCTTCTTGTACCCTAACTAAAGAATTACGGGCCCTACCTCGCGCTCAGTCGAATAGTACGCTGGGTGTATATTGCGTGACTATATATTTAGCCCCTAGAGCCCAAAGTCACGTTCCGACTTCTGACTCTCTCAGAGACCAGCAAAGCCCGGAGCACACGTTTCGGCACATTCTATCTCCTAACAGAGTAGCCTGAATTAAAAAAAAAAAAGTTGCAATGAAGCGTTTTTTTCCCTTGTTTTTGTTTGCTTTTTTTTGTTAAAAAGATTAAGGAAAAGAAGCTCAGGTAGGTTGATTCAATTTGAAAAGCTGGTAACGTCGGCATTTGTTTTGAAACATAACTTGGATAACGTAATCCAAAGATTACATTTATGGCCGTAAATTTTGGGTTAATGTGGCTTGCTCTCTACACTAATCGACTATTCCTCTAGTGCACGAATATTGACGTCATGTCTCCAGTCTGACGATATATGTCTTGATTTTATGGGCTTTTGTCTTTTTTTTAGAGCGTCATGGCAAAGCCTGTGCAGGCGGACCCATGAAGGAGCAAAGATCTTTGCACATGTTAAATTTTTTTTCGTTGCAGTGTAAATTGATGAGATTCGCGCAAATGGCAGGCCGGCCTCTCCGCAACGCGACTATTACGCATTGCAATATAATGCGAACGCTATATACAAAGCGCGACGTATTTAATGGCGAACAGTCCTAGTCCCAAACCAGCTGCAAAAGAAATGGTGGAGCTTTAATTGTTCCACTTCTAGTGCGAAAATCCTACCAGCTCTTGCTTTGATAAAGACACGGTGTCTAGTTTAATTTCAGCACACATGCACAGCCAAATCACGGTGGACGGCATGGAGCCTATGCTGAATGCAGGGCGTTCCAAAAACACGCCCTACCGTTTTCACTCTGTCCTTGGCCTTGGTACATCATTTTTCTTCAAATCAATATGTTCTTAATAAACCAACTTGCTAGGTGGGAATTGATAGTGGGAAGCGCTAAAGCATTATGGTCAATATCGTATTCTCTCTTACAGCGTTTCCCAGTGACAGCTCGACACTTATAGCGCGAGAGTTACATCGCGGTTTTGTTTTGTATTTTATTTTCAAAGAACATTGGCGGGCACCATATTTTTGCAATTCTGATAATGTTTAAAATGAGCAATTCTCTCGCCCGTAGTACTTGAGACAACAACCTTTTTGTTCTAAAAGAACAATAGTCTGAAAACGGCGATCGCTTGTTTGCATTAACAGTGCCGCGCGATGCACGTACTGCAAGGCGACGACACCAACCAATCGACCAAAACGCTTATCTTGCAGCCCGTTGTAGTGACAAAGTTTGGCCAACGGGATAAACGATTAGGCTATAGGTGAATTGGTAGTCTCCCCATTGCACGTTTCTAGGGAGTCGGACTGCTCCTACAACACCACATACACTGTTACTTCATGCCACGGTGCAGGCGCTTTGGGCAAACTGTCGGTTTGGGAGTGTGGGCGGAAGTCTCTGTGCATGACGGGCATTCCTTGGTTGGTTTGGACGAAACTAAAGTAAAACCTGCTTTCACGTCAAAATGCCTTGACTGGGGCTGTACCAGAACAGACGGGAAGGTATGAATAATAGATTTGATATATTTTCTGCCTGCTCGATTCGTATGATAACGCGCATAGCTCCGTCAAAAAGCAAAAACACCACTGTCGAAACAAGGATTGTTTTGTCGGAAGCACTTTGGGTTCAAATCACACCTAATTATGGCCGTCAGACTTTTTTGTTTTTCCATGAACGCGGGAAAACAAGTTTTCCAGACCACCCGCAAACCTCGTTTACTCTGTCTTCATTTTAAACGGACGACTTACCGTTCAAATTGTCGCATGGTCCTTTGATTTTGCCTGCATGCCGAAACGACAGCGGCTCGTAGACCATATTTGAACCCTGAAAGTACGTTGCGAAGGAAGTGCAGGCCTAAATCATCTTTTAGCTTGGAAGGCTGGTGGGGCAAGTAGGCATGGTTAAGCACTAAATATAAGTCGATGGTTATGATTGATACCAGTTGCCATCACCGACTTGTTATGCCTTATTAAATTGGTCTCGTCCTGCTTCCATTGCCAATATCGACGCCGAGCAGTGCATCTACTGTTCACGCTTTTAAAACCCGAGGGACATAGTGATCGAAAATACCGAGCCGAATCTAATAGTGCAGATCAGGCATTAGCGTCCACTCTGCGGAGTTCACGCTGAATGAATCGATGCAGGTCGCAATATTTGCACAAAGTTTTGCGTTATAACGAGCCTCGTTAATTTCGCTTGAGACACACAAGTAGTTAGACATTGTTAGGAATACGTAGAGTCAACAATTACATTGCAAAAAGAAGCACGGCGACTGACACCGACACCGGCTAAGTCAGATTCCAATGGTTTTTTTGAGCTGCGTTGTGAGTCGAGACGTGACATCCGCCAGCCGGAAATAGAAGGCCGAGTCTTTTTCGGCTAGTGCCATGTTTAAACACAAGCCGGCCCAGGATGTCCTGTGCATCAAGGAATCACAGAGTGTCATGCCTGCCACATCTTTGCTTTTAAAATTATTCCGTTGTGTTGGCTTCGGACATACCAAAGCCAATAAGTACCCTTACAAGTCAAAGATATTGGGCCAAACCGCCGACCTGCAATCGCAAGTCCGTGCCACAGGCCTTGAAAGGCAGTCAGCGGTTGTTGTCGGCATCTCCTTTTGTATTGAAAGGGCGCAATCACCTGCACCAGAGCGTGGTACCCCGCTAGGTGAGCCTTGCTTAGAAGAGGTCATGTGTTAGTGGGCATGACGATCAAGAATACTTGAGTGTATTGGGTGGCAGAGCATCTCTAGTCTTCGCAGCAACCGCAACTGGGGCTCGCAGATCACCAAACTATGCCCGTTTCGGAGATACACTGCACCGTGGTCCGTCTCCTCAATAAAAGGCCTAGGCCGCTGAGCAGGACTGAGAACTGTTGCTTGCGCTCATTCTGATTGAATTCATACGAGGGTACCATATTGAACAAGAGGAAAGTTTAGGACGCTGTATCGGCGGTAAAAGTTGGACGCTTGCCGTCTTTTGAAGCAGTCCTTTCTTCTGGCTGCATCCCAGTGCACCAAGCTGGATGATTGCATCAGTAGATCTTTCTGGGGTGCCGGATCGTAAGCCCCCCCCCCCTCATCAGCAGCTGCGTTGGGCTAAAACCTGCGGGTATCGATGAGTCGAAGTAGTTGAAGGGAGCGAGGTATGGGTCCTTCAGCTTGCGCACCAGGCTATCGACTGCAATTACAATACGCTTCACTGATATCTTTGATTGCAGACATTTAGGGCTGCTGCTCACTAGCGAGACAACCTGCGTTGTAATATAAGTCGCAAATTATCGGGACTGGAAGGTTAAGCCGCCTACCGATTGAAGAGCCTTTAATTGAGAGGTCGTGCCTCTCAAACAGACCCTTTATCACTTCTATAGCTGTGTGAGATATGGTGCTTCTGAGGGTAATTACTTCGGGTAGTGCAAGTAATAATAAACTTCCACAAGAAATGCCTGGC